ATGCTGAAATCCGAATGAGACAACAATCATCTCTATGAACTCTCCTGGGCATGTTTTGAGACTGCAGACATTGCCAGATAGACGCAGGGAAAACAGAAAATTGCAACTGAGGCCTTGAAAATGGAATTTATAACTTGATACACAACATGCAGCTTAAGAAACATAATAGGATAGTAGATGCAACAATTCCTTTATAAAATTTAAGCATGATTATAAAGAGAATTTAGAAAGATTTTAAAAAGTATTAAGAAGTAAAAGAAAAGTTCTTATACTCCAATACAATCACCACTAGCTTTTCTTTTTCTCTCCATCTAAATAGTATTTTTTTAAATATCAGCCCCCCCATCACCAAATATGTTGATTTAAATATGTAAAAGATGTGTCTTACAATATGATGTTAAGAAAGTTAAATTATCTAATTTGTTCATTTGGTAGGGAAATACATTCCTGTTAGCACCTTCATCCTTACATTGCCACATTTGGTTATTGAAGCTAGGGAAGAGATATGAATTAAAGTCAGATAAATTGCTCGGTTTCACTACATTTCTCGGTTCTAAAATGCAGAACAAGAACAATGATTTCTAAGTTATAATACCACTGGAAATGAAGCACCTCAGTTCCCTCTTATGAAATCAGCAGAAGTTTTCTTCTGTCTCTAACGTATTATGGAATGCTACTGTTAAGAGGTGACCCATAGTGACTCTTAGATGCCACCATGTTATGATTCCTTAGTTTGGGGCCCAAGATCTTATTTTCCATTCTATAAACAGTCATCGAGTAATTCTCTACCTCACTTGATCTTACATTCATGCTGGCCCTGCTGTAAATTGTCTTTCAAAGGCACACTTAATAACTTACCCAGGCCCATGGTAATTTATGCTTATTTTAGAATGCTGATAAAATAACAGGGCAAATTGCAACCTTTCTGTCTTTAATTGGCAGCTTTTTGCATAACTCCATGTGTGTTTCATATAAATCTAGAGAGTTGTTTTTTTCCCCAAAGAACAGCCTACACCAGGAGAAGGCAATCTGATTTAAAGTACATAAGAAATAATGTGGCATTTTAAAAAGATATGTGCAGGGCCAAAAATGAAAAATGAACTCTACAGGGAACAGGTATGGCATAACACCAAACTACAGAGTTTATCATATAAAGGGTTAAAAAAATAAATAAAAGCTTAGAGGAGAGAAAATTGAATTTTCATGATGCAGAGATGAAAGGAACTATAAACTATTATTTTCATTGGAAGAGGAAGAAGCTTTGAAATGTAAAATGGTTCATAAGGCAAAAATACTTTCTTACATGATAGAGGATTCAACCAAGCACACAAGTGAATTGCAGTGTTACTTTTCCAAAAGGATTCTAGGTTTAAGAATGGAAACAGGAAGATAAATTCTAGATTTACCTGGAAATAGCAAAAAGGCAGGTGTATTGGGATTTATAAAGCTTTTTCTTGGGATTAAAATGATCCAATATGATGTATATCTCAATTTTCTATTTATTTAGAGGTTATTTTCTTATATGTGAATGAATGGATAATCAATCCAATTGATCTTGCTGTTCAGTTTTAAATATTACATAAAAATTAATATTTATGGATATGACCAGTCAATAAGTAAACAAAACTACTATTCCCATAGTAGTTTTATTGACATAATAATGCTACAGAGATATTTTTAAAGTCTCTAAGGGAGTTTCTACTCCTGTATTTCAATTTTGTAGTAATTATGTTTTGCTTATAAATCATAATTAAAATGTTGTTATGTCATTTATAAACTCAATTACATTGGGTCTTCCTATTTTTAAAAAAACTTCAATTTTAAAAATTAGAGCTACATAGTGAATTTACATTCAAGTTCAACATAAAGAAAAAATGTGGAGGCAGTGAATTCACATGTGTTCAGTTTATATAGACCAAGGAAGCTGGATTGAGTGATTATCCTATAAGTTCAAGTGGTCATGAAATTCAATTCAAACCTAAAGCAGACATACAAATGAGTATTTGTGGTAGGCAGAACAATGATATTTAAGTCCCAATCCCTAGGAGCAATGAATATGTTACATTACAAAACAAAGGGGGATTAAATTAGCAGGTGAAATTTGGTTGCTAATCAGCTGAGTTTAAAAGAGAAAATTTATCCTGGATTATACAGGTGACACTCTGATCACAATGGTCCATACTTGTGGAAAAGGCAGGAGGGTGAGAATCAGGGTAATAGAGAAAAGACTTGACCAGTCATGCTGGCTTTGAAGATGGGAGTCATGAGCCAAGGAAAGAGGGAAGCTTCTAGAAACTAGAAAAGAAAGGCAAGGAGCGATTTCTCCCCTACAGTCTCCAAGAGGAACATAACCTTGCCAACACCTTGATTTTAGCCCAGGGAGACCCATTTCCGAATTATCACCTCCAGAACTATAAAATAATACATCTGTGTTGTTTTAAACCACTAGGTTTGTGGTAACTTGTTACATAAGCAATCGAATATTAATAGAGTAATCATATTGTTTAATTATGACCCAGGCTGACTGATTTAAATTCCCTAAATATCTTAGCTATTTTCCTTTTACCGCATGCCACACAAAGCAAAGTTGTGAGAATGAGCAGCAGTTGTCCCTAATAAATACATATTGGTTCCCGTCCCACCTTGAAGTGTCATTAGCAAAATAAATTGCTATTCTTTCTTACCAAGGAAATAAAATAAAATTACATTTTAGAAAAGAAGTACTTAAATGTTCTTTATATTGTTAAATGTAATGTTCAATATAAATGTTCTTTATATTGTTCTTTATATTATTAGCATTCTTAATGTTAATAATCATATATGTAAACACATATGTATTTCATAAAGCATACCTGACAATATTTCTAAAGTCTTTAAACATGCCTTTGATTTCTACCTACAGAATAAGAATCATTAAAAAAGAAAACAAAAGAAAAAGAAAAGAAATAACTGTCTTAAAGTGGTGAGAGATCCATCACTGGGGATAATCAACCGAAAGAGCAAGCCTGGATGTGGCAGATGGTTTTCCGAATGCAGAGGAAAATAATGGCAGTGAAAGTGCTGGCAGGAGGGGATTTCGAAATAGCCCTCATTAGGTGAGTAAAATATCAGTACAATTTAAGAAGAAAAGGAACCAATAAGAAGCCACTTAAAATGACAATTACAGAACTATATGACTGTGTGCCCAGTGTTCAGAAATGATCAAAACAGCAACTACAGTTGACCCTTGAACAACACAGGGGCTAGGGGTGCCAATGGCCTGCAGGGTTGAAATTTTGTGTGTGACTCTGACTCCTCAAAAACTTAACTACTAATCACCCACTGCTGACTGGAAGCCTTACTGATTACATAAACAGGTTAACACGTTTTATATCTTATACGTATTATGCAATGTAGTCTTATAATAAAGTTAGAGAAAAAAATATTAAGAAAATCATAAGGAAGAGACAATGCATCTACAGTAGTGTACGTGTTTTTTGAAAAAAATCCATGTATAAGTGGACCCACTCAGTTCAAACCCGTGTTGTTCAAGGTTCAACTGTATTGAGTTCGGAACTCTTATTTATATGTCAGACTCCTCTTTTATCTTTTTTTTACAACATCTGGAAAAGATTACTACGTAATAGTGATCACTTGAAACTATTATTGATTAATAAATTATACTATGGTAAATTTCTGAAAATTCAAATCAAAGTGCTCAGTATTAAAAAACAAACAAACAAACAAACAAAAACCCCAAAATATCCCTCCAAGTAAAATGCAGTATGTCTAGTGTATTCTTTTTTATAGCAGCAAATGCCTTTCAGATGCTGTGCAGGTAATCTACTCTTCTCTTTCTTAAGCCAACAGAAGGAATATTATAAAATTACCTGATGATTGTACTGTACTAGTCGGTATGAGTTCATAGGAGAGGAGCAATCTTTATACCAAATGAAATGTTCTCACAGAAGAAAAAGCCACTTTATTTATGACTCATCTATTTCCTGTGCCTGGTTATCTCACGTCCTATTCTCACCAGACAGCACCTAAGGGATCTGCTTGCCCAGGGAGATTAAATACTAGATGGCCTAACATTCTCCAGAATCCAGATCTGCTTGGTCATCTCCACAATGCCCATCAATTGAGGGCAAGATGATGGCACCTTGGAGGGGCCATTTGGATAGGATGGGGTCTTCTGTTTGCCTAGAGTATCCACAAGGTGTTCAAATCCTATTTCTTCCAAATCAACATTCCCTCTCTTTTCCATATTTCTAAGGACCAGCTCCACACCAAAGCAGGTTGTGGGGAGCAGGATCTTTCATGTTGGCCACAAGCCAAAATTAGCTTCACTGGGGTGAATCCAAAGTCTTTTCTGATCCTTAGAAAAGCTGGGAAGGATGTGAGTAACTCTCAGTGAATAATTTGCAAGGCGCTGGTCAAGTCCACAGTTGTCTACCTTCTGTCATGTTCTCCACTTCAGTTTTTCTCATTAGGGGCTTGAGGGCATCGAGGTCTTTAGGACCCCTGTTAGAGTGATAATACTTCTAAGGCGGTAAATTAAGAGCTCTAACACAAATATAACTAAGGACATAGGGCTGATCTGGAATTGGGCACCACCGAGGCAGGCGAAAAGAATTTAAAAAGCCAAAACCTTGACCTTGAAATATAATTTGGGACCTATCTTTTTCAGAGGTATCATTTCTTGAAAACCTCACGGTCCTATATTTGACTATTCCCCAAAGGGAAAGTATATAACCTACATTTAGCATTCTTAAGAGATTAAAACAATGCCATTCATCAAACAGCAAGTATATAAGATTATATATATGCACTATTTTTCCATAGCAAACAACCAAATATAATATAATAAACTCCAAAATTAAAGCCCATAAGGAGTTAAAATATTATCGCTGAATTTTGACATGCTCCATTACTGGAGAAAAATATTTAAGAAATTTCTTCTGTAAGATTGGAACAGCATAATACATTTTTTTTTAGTGCACACTAAATGATAAACTTACATCGGAATTAAATCTCAACTGGCAAATGTTGCATGATATGATTTGCTTTCTTCGATGAGGAAGAGGAACCCCGAATGTATGATTTATTACAGCTTTCTGAATCGGGTCCATCTGTAATGAGAAAAAAAATACAACAAATAGAAATAAAGCTTGTCAGTTCCATTGGAATGTGGTCTATTTCATTAAAGAGCCAATCTGTACAGCTTCAATCTACTGTTCACATTATAAAAAACATTTTTTTCCTAAGAAATGGCATTTCTACATTGTTAAAAAATAGAAAACAATAAGCTCGAAGCTCACGATGATAAGGAAATAATAAATGTATCCATTAGAGTCTGCATACTAACTATTTTTCTCATTTAGGATCAACAATTGTCTCAGTTTGATAATCCCAAAATATAATTAAATGTTTATCAAAACTCAAGTTATTATAAATGCCAGCAATCTTACACAGAAGAGTGTCTCCACCATTGCCCCAAATGGACTTCAAAATGGACTTGGTAGGAGGATCAGCTCTGAAAATAAATTATGCCCCATTATCCAACATTAACCTTATGCTATGTTTGGTATCTTTTCTACAGTAAGAATATAGTACACAATTCCTGTTTTCTAACAATTCAAATATATGGAGCTATCATCAATGTATTCAACAACCATTTACTGATCCCCTAATAAATACTGATATCCCATAGATTATTTGAGGTTCAAAGAGTTTGGGCCATATATCAGTTGTCTCTCTCCATCCCATTTTCCCAGGCCAGGACAAGTGACACCAAATACATAATGTTGATAATCCAGCTCTAATAAAACATAATGTCTCCTCATCAAGTTCTGTCCTACAGTCCATGTCAGTGGTTCTCAACTGTTAGAGTCAGATAGAAACTTTGATCTGTTTCTTAATATGTGTACAACTTCTTTGCTTATCTGTGTCTATTAAGACTGTGATGAGTTTTAAAAGCGGTAATTCATGAAATTTACTTAGCACAGTCAGTACTGGGCACATTAAGAAGTCAATAAATGTCGGCTATTCATATATTCTCTATTGCAGCACATGTGAGATCAAGGTTAACATGAGCCTCACACTCCTCTAGTCGTTGTTGGCATACTACTCATTTCTCACGTGGCCAAAAAAACATTTCAAAATTATTTAAATGTTACACATGCAGTCATGACTTCTGGTGAATGCCTGTAAACTTTGGGATTCTTTTTTTTAATGGTATTTTTAAAAATATGTTTATTGATTTTTAGAAAGGAAGGGGGAGCGAGAGAAACATGGATCGGTTGCCTTCAGTACACGCCCCTGCATCCTAGGTATGGGCCCTGACCAGGAGTTGAACCTGAGACCTTTCCGTGTTTGGGATAATTCTCCAACCAACTGAGCCACACTGCCCAGGGCTGGAACTCTTAACTCTCATCAGATACAAAGCTCTTACAAGAATGCTCACAATGGGTTGAAATAGTTCAGATATGATTTGACAGACATACACCAAAGGAGTGTATCTATGAAATAATGCTCTAATATTCACCTTCTGTGATTACCCTAAACAAGGCATCGATAAATCCCACCTTCGTGTGTGTATTTCATATCCTCAGAACCAGCTGACTCGTAGGCTCTCCTCACTGGCAGGTAGGAGGAAGTTTCTGTCTATGTTTACAACTCCTATTAGGTTATCTAGGAACTCTTAATGTACTGTTCTAAATAACAACAATAAAAAATCATAACACTCAACATATAAGGGCCTTCTATGTACTAAATTGTAAGCTAGTGTGTTTATATATTAAATAGTTAAAGTGATTTTTAAAAAATCAACGCATGGGGTACTCATTTTTATCTTGGACCATCACTTTGAATTATTTGACCTAATGTTAACCCTTGCCCAGATTCTGGATGAAACTCAGCTATGTGATTTTTCTGGTCACTTTTAAGTATGAATAAATTCTAGTATCTTCTCTCCCTTTAGTAGTGAATTCTAACATATTGTCTTTTTAACCAGTTCTATTTAGGTACAATTTACATACAATAACATTCACCAATGTAAACTTCAGAATTCGTTGAGATTTGACCAATACATACAGTAATACTAATTATCACATTAGAGCATTTGCATTACCTAGAAAAGTTCCCTTCTGCTCTTATGTGGTCAATCCCTTTCTCCCACCAGAGTCTTTTGAAACCAATGGTGTGCCTCCTGTCACTATATTTTTGCCTTTTCTCGAATTTCATATAAAGGGAATCATACAATATGTGGTCTTCTGTGTCTGGTATCTTTCATTAATGTGATGCTTTTAAGAATCAACCATGTTAGTGCACGTATCAGTAGCTCACTCCTTTTTACTGCTGAGTAGTATTCTTTCCTATGGATATACCAATGTGTATCCACTTGTCAGCTGATGAACATTCGAATTGTTTTCAGTAAATTCTATAATCTTTTCAAATATCAATACACATTTAAAGCTTATTCTAAAATTCAGTTCAGTGATTAAATACAAACATTAAAATTAATTTAAAAGTACAATCTCTTTTCCCTAGGTTGGACTGATTATCAGATAGTAGGCTGAAAGGGAATAGTAAACGGTACAGATTTTGTGTCACAGGATTCATCTCTCTCTCTCTCTCCCTCTCTCTCTCTGTCACACAAACACACACTTCTCCAAGTCCCCCAACCCAGCTAAGCTTCCAAACCTTTGTGAACCCCATATCACCCCTCTTTCCTCAGAACCAAAATGGACAGTGCACAGAGCTTGAGAAAGCCTACAGTCACACAAACGTGGGAATCTGAGTTGCTTCAAATAGCCTTCATTCTACTTTCCAGGATCACTCTGACATTGCTTTAAACATGCCATCACAACGCTTCCATGACAACAATTACAGAGAACACTGGGGGATAATTTCCCTTTTAGCCAACAGCTAAAGGAAACAAAAAGCAGAAAGAGGTCCCTGACTTGGAGGTAGTTGTCTCATCACCTTATACGGAACCTGTCCCGTGCATAAATGGGGCCCATTTCTATCAGGAAACAAGGGAAATTATGCCTATGACCCACTCAGGAATACTGAAGTCCTCTTATAATAATGCTATGAAATAAAAATGAACTACACGTTTATATTAAATATGCTCTGAAATGCATTACAGTGTTTATCTTATATTGGTGAGCAGCATATTATTTTTATCTTTCAGTAACACTGCGGAGACAGTGACCACACTCAATCTTAGTTTGTGTAGGAGGTATTTTGGACGAGACACCATGCAAATGTGGCATATTCTCCAGATAAAACAATTCCATTGTTTGAATGAATGACATTCTGATCACTATTGGCTATAAAATNAAAACAATTCCATTGTTTGAATGAATGACATTCTGATCACTATTGGCTATAAAATCAAATCGCACAGTGCAAAGTTGTATATTCTTCTTCAGAGACAATTTTATTTCCCAGTATACTTAAAAACAAGGCACCTAAGTAGGTTATATTTTAAAGATGAATTCACAAACTGTAGTTCACCAACACAAGTATTTATCTTTTATCATTTTAGAAATCTAGTACAGCAAAATAAGTTGAATGCCTTTATTAATGGACATCAATCATGTTCCCCTCTCTAAGATGGACATCTATAAATATATGTAAAACCATTTACAACTAGAAATTTTGAAAGGGGAAAGTCTAAATAATAGCCAGTTCTGGTGTTAAATAGTTAATTAAATAAATCTACATGGTATGTAACTAAAAGTAGCATCTACTATCAACTCAGGGACACACACACAGCCACTCTGATCATTTTGTTTAAACATACCATTACTTACCATTATGATCAAACATTTTGTTCCAAAAGAAAGTCCTATACGTTGGTTTTCCCCCCATGAACAAATAGGACTGATCTGTCAAAACAATCATACCTTGCTGTGCGTATGCACATTAGCATTAATTTTTCTTCAAAATAAGTCTCTAGAGATGCCAATATGTGCAGGCAAGAATAAAGGGGGGCTCTTGGGTCCCATAAGTTGTAGGAAACCTAGGTATTACAACGTGTACATTGACAGTGCACAATAAAATGTTAAATTCTCTGAGATGTCCCACAATAAAAATGTCTTAAATAAATGATTTCTAAAATAATAAAACTAGAGCTCTCATTGTTCTCCTTGCTTGTTTTTAAATTTAGCTTCCCTGGTTCCATGCGTGCAGTTTAGAACATAGTAATCTCAAAAATAAAATCATTATAAAAATAAGAATAAAATGTAAATCCTTCAGCACCAAAGTAAAGACACTAAAAATGAAATACACAGAAATCAGATCCATAAAAGTTTTTATACATTTCACTTATCCCATGCAGCACTGAATTAAAAACTGACAGAAAGAAATGGTAAAATATACATGGTATTTTAAGCCATATTTATCTAATTTCTAAAGTGGAATATTTTGAAAGCTAAAATTCTCTAAATACAATATCCAATCTCCCAAAACAAACAAAGCCAAGAATGATTCCATACCTATTAATATGCTTACCCAAAGCTTTAGACAAAAATTCAATTTCAAACTCTGCCTATGGCCTTATTTAAAGCCAAACGAATATGTTCTTCTTGATTTCAGGCTTAAGGATCTTTGCATTTCTATCTCAGGCCCTGCTTTTCCCTCCCCTCCCCTCTGGGCATTCTGGTAAATTGATTTGTAAATAAGTGTGGAAGGCACAGCCTCAAGGAGAGCAGCCATAGCTCCAGGTTCCCTTCTCTAGGATGTCTGTTGTGTTTTCAGAGAGGACTTGGCTTAACCCTGAGTTTGCATTTCTAGCTCTAAGAGACATTCTCTTTTTAGGTTCTATTATTATTGTGGCTTTCAGTTTTCAATTCAAAGAACAAGAATTTAAATGGCAGGAAGGACGTTTGAAGTCCAGAAATATAAAGGTTATCTCTTCCAGCTGGTATTTCTATGTAACAACAGCAAGTAACAATAACTCTAAAGGTTACACTTAAGGGCACTTAGTGTATTTTTATGTTTATAAGCATTATTTCTATCTCAGCAACTTACTGAGGAGCTCTCATTGCCCCTTGCCTAAAATCATACAATTAGTAAGAGTTGTGATATCCACTGTCGTGAAATATATAAAGCGTATACAGAT